AATGCACATGGCTGAATAAGGGAAAATAAAAATTTAAAAGTTTTATTATTTTAATAATATTAAAAGTTTAATATTTTATTAAATTATATAATTATTTAAATTAAAACTTTTTATTATAATTATAATTATTAATTTTCTATTAAATAAAATTTTATAAAATAAATAAAATTTATAATTTATAATTTATTAAAAAATTTTAATAATTATAATTAATTATATTATTCCTTTTTAAATTATATTATATTAATATTTTTTTATTAAACTTTAAAATATTATTATTATATTTTTATAAAAAACATTTTTTATAATTATAATTATATTAAATATTATAAACTTAAGCTATATTTAATTAAATATTAATTTAAGATTTTTATAAGTTTATACTAAGTTTAACTTAAATTTAACTTAAGCTTAAGAAATAGCCAGAGATTACCTAAGTATATAGTAACTAAAGTATAATTATAAACTATTTATATTTATATTTTTTTTTCTTTAAAAATAATAATTTAAACTATTTAAATATTTATTTATAGTTACTATAAAGTTAACTTATTATATTAAAGTTAATTATTATATTAATTACTTTAATTATTTACTTTGTATTATAGTTTTTAAATATATTAATTATAAATATATTAATAATAATTTAAATTATATATTATATTTTTTAAATTAATTATTAAATTATATTTATTTTAAAATTATTATATAAAATTTTTAATTTATATATTTAAATAATAAATATTTTATATAAAATAAATATAATTATTATTTATTATTATAAATATTTCTTTTATATTATTTATAATATTATTTTAAAGTTAATATATTATTATAGTAAAAAATTATAAATTTTAAAAAATCTATATATAAATTTTTTTTAATAATATTAAAAACTTTAAAACTATAAAAATAATTTAAAAATTATATAAAACTTTAATATTTTAAATTTAATATATAATTTATTAAAATAAATATTTATTTAAATATAATTATTTTAAATTTAATTTTTTTAAATTTAATTTTTTTAAAATAATTATTTTTTTTATTATTTTTTAATAATAATTTTAATATATTAAATATTAACTTAAAATTTTTATTATTATAATTAAATTTTATAATTATAATATAAAATTTTAAAAATATAAACTTTAATAATATAATAAAAAAAATTTAAATATTAAATATTATTATTTTTTAAATATTTTATTAAAAAAATTTTAAATTAAAAAATTATTAATTAAAAAATTTAAAAAACTTATAATTTATATATTTAAATTAATTAATAAATTAAAAATAAAATTATAAAATAATTATATAATAAATATTTAAATAAATTATTTTTTATAATTTATATTTTTTTTAAAAAATTAAAAATTTATAAATTTATATTTTATTTTTTATTATTTATAAACTTAAAATAATTATTCAAATAAAAGTTATTAATATATAATAAATTAATTTTATATTATAAATATAAATTAATTATATTTAAATACTTTTTAAATTTTAAATATATATTAATAAATTAATTAAATTAATAAATAAATAATTTTATTACATAATCAATAAAGTAAAATTTAATTTTAACTTAATTATAATATTAATAATTAACTATTTAAAGTACTTTAATAAATATTAAATATAAATTTATATATATAGTTATTTTAAATATAGTTATTGTAAGTTGTATTAATTCAAAATAACTCAATTACTGTAAATTATATTAACTATATATAACTTCTTTTTAATTAAGTTTATTTAAAGATAACAATGGGCCTACAGGGTAGGCAGACTTTAGGTTAAGACTATAAAGGTTGGGTCGTAACAACAGGAACTCTTCACTGCGTGTCTTGACTGTGGCTTCCAGTTCATTTTAAGATTGTATGGAATGAGGTATAAGCTGACTTCTTAAATCATGATAGGAAAGCTGACTGGCCGTTTAGAAATAATCGATTCCTCTGGCCTCACCTAGGTTGTAAAAATTCACGGTAGGAATCGGCGTAAGCTTTAGCCCGCACATTGGTTTTACGTGTTCCTAGCGCAGTCAAGCTACATATCAGGTCGCTAGGCAGCGCCAACTTCTTTCCCCCTCCTCCTTAAGCCGGCCGAAGCTCAATTGCTGAAACCCAAGAATTCCGTATGTCGATGATGCGGTGAACTGTCCAGCCTGCCAAGCCCGCCAATCTGGTCCAGTCCTGCTCCGACCTCTCCTTGCCGTTGACAGTAATCATCATGACCAGGTCACCATATCGGGGAAGTCGTCCGCTTCGGAGCGGTCGTTTGATTGACTCGAAGATGACGAAGCGGGCGACGGGCGACGCAACCAGATGAGAGCGGGCGTTGCTCAGGATGCGCACCACATCCTCGTCCATCCAGTTATGTAGGCACCACTTGATTGTATACACGGACGCTGCCGGAATGTCGCCGAAAAAGTCGCCCGCTCTCAAGGACATGCGTGACGCCACGTCGGCATGCCGGCCGCTCCCGTCGCCGGCCTTGAAGTCCGGCGAGATGAGGTCGACGACGTGCTGTAGGTCAACTAGTGTACCGTGGAGCGCGGGGTTCTGTCGCAGGACCGACGCCAGGAAGTCCCCAGATCCAGCACCGAGGTCGACCAGTGTCTCGCCACCGAGCTCGCCCCATGGATAGTCCAGCGTAAGCCCCTTGGCCATGGCGACGGCGCCGGCGCCGAGGGTGTTGTGGAACTGCTCGCTCTTGCCCTGCTTTGCCATGTAGTCGAACAGGCTCATGTCGGTTTTGTACTCGATCTGAGCAGCGTTCCGCGTCTCCCCGAGACGGATCGCCTGAGGGATCGAGCGGCTGACGTCGAAGAATATGTTGGGGTACAGGTCAGCCCAGAGGTGCCACTTTGTCCAGTGGTCTCGGCGGAGAAGGGTCGAGCAGCGGTTGTTGGAGAAGGTACCGGATGACGCATCGTATGAGAAGATTCCGTTGTTTACCAACGTGTCAAGGAGCTGCGCCAGGCGCGTGGGCTGCACCTGGACGAGAGGGCCCAGCTTCTCTGCTGTGAGCGGTCCATGGCTCTCGAGGACGTCCGGTACCTTTGCCTCGACTACGGCCGCCATGGCCTTGCTGTTCAGGTAGCCTGAGGTGGTGTGAATAAGTCAGCGGCTAAATTCCTATCCAGGTTGTCTTGTGCGTGGGGCTGCGGCTTGTGAGGGGTTTCCTCCCCAGAAAGGTAACATACCGAAGAAGCCGTCTGCCAGAAGCATCACGGATGGAACCAGCCGCAGCTGCAGTGCGTCCATGAGATCTACCGCTGTCCGCGCCAATTGGTCCAGGTCACGATCTGGGAACGTGTCGACGCTGTGTAACGCGCCATCGAGCACCGGTGCCAGTTCCTCAGACGCAATAGTCTCCGTGGCTTCACGGATATGCTGATTGAGCGCTTCGAGCGTCGCCTTTATCTTGGCGATGCCGGTGGAAGATGCTGCCATTGCGGTTACGGGGATGTGGACTACTGGAAGGACATTAATCGTCTGCAAGATCAAGCAATTCTGGTGTATGTGCCAGACCCCGGATTTTGCCTGTCGTACTCTTGTGTGGATTTCTCAAATACGGTGGTGCTTTCTTTGGCAAACACTCTGACCACAATCATATGATTCCTGAGTCGGTCGTTATAAACAGAGTTTGCTGTAATACCGCATTGTCGGTGACAACCGGCTACCGGCCATGGTTTTTCGGGCTCCGGCGACGTCATACTCGTCACCGGGGTCCGACGGCGATCGAATAGCGATGTCGAGTTGAACGCAGCATCAGCAATTTACAAGGCCGTCGCTAGCTCGAGGACGTTTTCCTTTTCTAGAGCCACACAGCAGCACTCGTCTGCTCTGGTCTGCTCTGGTCTCCTTTGCTCTTACTGCCCAGAGGCAGATCAGATTCCCCGCCGCCCAAGACAAGACACGGCCACACATTATGCTCGCGTCACTTCCCCTCGACCAGGGGCTGACACCCGTGGCGTTAATCTCTACAGCATCTGTTGCATTGGTTTGCCTGGTGCTTTATCGGCGCCGTAGCGGAGCCGCTGACCTGCACTCGCTCGGCATCCCAGTCTTCGACAGCCGCGATGATGACAACGGCATCGTGGCCACACTAGAGAGGGCGAATAAGCTGCACCCAAATGCCCCCTTTGCCCTGGCTGTCCCCGGACAGCAGTTGGTCGTACTGCCTGTATCTGAAATTGACACGGTCAAGGCTCAGCCGGAAACTCAGCTCTCCATCAAGAAACATCACTACAACCAATTCCTGGGAGAGTACTCTTACATGGGCACACGAGCAGACGAGTTCGACAATGCCATGCGGAATACCCTGGTACGCAACACCCCTACAGTCCTGCGCGCCTTCACGGCCGAAATCGATTACGCGACCCGGGTCACCATTGGCGATAAGCTCCCCACCTGGACGAAAATCAAGCCGCGGGGCATCATGGCACGCATGGCGACCATCCTCTCAGGCCGTTCCTTTGTTGGCCTGCCCCTGAGCCGAGACGAGGAGTGGATTAACGCGACGGTCGGCTTCACTGGCGACGTGTCCAAGGCCTGGATGGTGCTGCGCTTCATCCCACACTTTCTTCGCCCCTTCATTGCCCCGTTTCTGTCCCAGGTTAGGTCCCTCGAGGGCTGCAAGGCTCTCATCACCCGAAAGCTCAATGGTCTTCTCCAAGAGAGGGAAAAGAAACAAGACAGCGAAAAGCCAGCTGGTGATGACGAGGTTGGAGGCGAGCTTCTGGACTGGTTCCGATCGCAGTACTCGCATAAGCCTACGGTCAAGGAGCTGGCTCGCGACCAGCTGCTCGCAACATTTGCCTCTATCTACAACCTTACGAATGCGCTGACCTACGTGGTTTTCGACCTGGCTTCGCATCCAGAATACATCGAGGAGCTCCGCGCGGAACTGCAGGAGGTCGTTGGCGAGGACGGTGTCATCAACAAGACGACCATCATGCAGCTGGTCAAGCTGGACAGCTTCGTCCGCGAGTCGCAACGCTTGAGGCCTACGTCACTTGGTAAGTGGGAACGAGATGCATCCAACGTGCTGACGCAAACTGACAAACCCCCACAGTCAACATTCCCCGCGTCGTCACGGCCCCGAAAGGATTGAAGCTGACCACCGGCCACATCATCCCGCCGGGCTTCTTGGTCATGGTGCGTGCCCAGCCAATCAACCTGTCGCCCACGCTGTATCCGGAGCCGGAGAAGTTTGACGCATTCCGGTTCGCCAAGATGCGCGCGCAGCCAGGCAATGAGATGAAGTTCCAGCATACGTCGACAGGCACTGACAACATCAACTTCGGTCACGGAATCTGGGCCTGTCCCGGTCGCTTCTTCGCCAGTGCCCAGGTCAAGGTGGTCGCGGCGCATCTCATTCGCAATTTCGACATTCGCCTCCCCGAGGGTAAAGAGAAGCCCGTGCCGCAGTACGGCGGCTTGGCCATCTTCCCGGACGCGGTGGCCGAGATTGAGTTGCGCTCCCGAAAGCTGTAAAATATCCGTCCTACAAGTAGTACAGTAGTGAATTAAGGAGGATGACAAGTGAAAATGGGGGGCGTGGGAGAGGAGGGAAAGAGGGCGGCAAGGGGAACAGAATAGCAAGGAACGCGAAATAATAAGTGCATTGGTACAAAAGGACATGAGGACTTTTGTCACCAATTGAGGATCGTTGCCATATGTATATGGTTCTGTCACATGTGTTCATAACATCCCTATTCCCTATCTTCCCGTCCCCCGCTTGGAGGGATTTCATCTCGTGGAACTTGACAGGATTCAAGTGGCAAACATGTATGAATGGATGCAGCCTGAGTACATGTTAAAAATAAAATAAATAAATAAATAAATACGCTAATCCTCAACCAAGTTTCGGGCCATTTGGGCTTTTCACAAAAGTTTCAAAATACTCGCGACTCTACGCCGAGATTTCCTAGACAAACTATTACCCGCTTAATTGGATGGATACAGCGATTTCCTGCGAGTTGATTTTGGAGGTCGTTTACAACCACTATGTAATGTTTTATTGCTTATGTCGTCTAAGCCGCCCTCCCCTACCTATATAAATAACCTATACTACTTGTATAAAGCATACTAAAGGCTTTAGTTTACAACAGTACTGCACTAACTAAAAGATATATAAATTATATAAGAAATAGTTAACAATTTAATATATTTTTTAATTAAACGATTTTTTAACCTAAATTATATATAGTTATATTTTTAATTTTATAATATTTTAAAGGTTTTAAAAACTAAAGTTATTTATATTATTAAAATTAAAAGTATTTTTTATAAAGTTAAAGGCTTTTAATACTTTTAACGCTGTTTACTTAATAGGTTAATTGATAAACTAAGTTAATTAAGTCCCTACCTTTTTTTACTAAAAAGGAAAATATATAATTTATATTATATAATAATATATATTTAATTATTATAACTTTAAAACTATAAAATAACATTAAATTAATAAATTATTTTTAAAAAATCAAAATATATATAAAATAGCTTTTAATTTTTTTTAAATATAGTTTTTATTATAATTAAATAAATAATAATTGAAAATTTTATATTTTAATTTATTAAATAAAGTATATTTATTACTGTAAAAAAAATAATAGAATAAAAATAATAATAAAAATAGTAAAGTTAAAATAACTATAATTTTAAGTTATATATATATATAATTTTTTTATAATATTTTATATTTTTAAAATTTTATATATTAAATTATTAAATAATAATTAAAAAAATTACATTTATAAAAAAATTAATTAAAAATTAAAAGTATTTTAATTTATATTTATTATTGTTAAATAAAATATTATATATTATTATTATAAACTGCTAAATTAATATACTACTATTTTAAAATATAACTATTATATAATTAAATTAATTACTTTATAACTTTAAAGTTTTCTATTATAAAATCCTATAGTTAATTAAAACTTTTATAATTTAAATTTTTAAAAGTTTAAAATCTAATTTAATATTAAAAGACATATTTTTTTTTAATTTTAGTTAACTAAAAAACTTAAAATAAAACTTATATTACTTAATTAAAAAAGTATCTTTTTAAATAAAACGAAAATTTAAAAAATAAAGGTAAAAAGCCTAAAATTAACTTATTAAATAAATACTTTAGTTAAATTAAGGAAATAGTAAAAATAAAATATAGTAAAATTCTAAAATAAAAAAAAAATAATAATTTTTTTTTTTTTACTATTTATAACTTTTATATTTATTTAATTAAACCTAAAAGTACTAAAACTTTAGTATTTTAGTTATTAAATACTAAATACTAATTTACAACCCTGGCTCTATGGACTACATGGCTCAACTTCTCCGTTTACTCGTGACCCAACTTGGCAACGCGCTCCCTGGCCCTCACGACCGCCGGCCTGGCTGCCATGCGTCGACTCCACTCCAGGGTGTGTGGCCAGTTAGAAAGATCGAGCCCAAACAAGACCGCACATGCCTCGTCGGCGAATGGCAAGGTGGCGATATCGGCAATGGTTGGGCGGTCGGGGAGCGCCAAATACTGCTGCCCTTCCTGGGCGAGTCTGCCCTCAAGGATGTCATACTGCTTCTCGATGTTGGAGCGGAGCCTGCAGAGTCGCCGCACAATATCAGAAAAAACCAGCTTCGCCAAAGAGTGGGAGGGATGACAGCGTCTCCGTGGATCCGCCCGCCCAAAGGACATGGGGACACAAGCATTAACAGACGGGGTCAGACAGGTGAGACATACTTTGCAGTGGTCTTGGGGACCCTCTCGGGATGTAGCTTCTCAAAGTAGAGCCAGTATTTTGCCGTAGGGCCCAATGCCGCCGTGTGTAGAGTGAGCCAGTTGCCTACCTCTGCCCGCTCGGCGACGGTTCGACCGCTAAAGAGGCCGTCTTTGTCGTAGGCATCCGCGAGGTAAGTCAGGGTGGAGGTAGACTCCCAAACCTGGAGCCGTCTATCGCTGCCGGCCGGGGTGTCTTCGATGGCCGGCACCATCTTGTGCGGGTTAAGGCGTCCGAACCAGGGCTCGGAGATGCTGTTGACAACATAGGTTTTGTGAGGAATCTGAAGCTCCTCGATGAGCATTAGGGGCTTGACCGTGTTGTGGGTTGAGGTCGCCGTCGCTACGAGATCCCAAGTCAGCAACCAAACATGACAGTTCCCAATAAACAATGCAGCTTTCAAAACCAAATCTGCAGGGGCGTTCGGTCTTACCCTTGACGACGAAGAGGACCAAGCCATCATTCGGGACGTTTTCCGGACGCTCCATTGCAATGCGGTGTTCTCGGGCGGTTTGAGATGTCTTCGACAGTGTGTTCGTGAAATTACAGTACCTCGAGATGTCTGGCTGGCCGGGTCCCAAACATTTAAGTTCAGCAGTGCCCTTGATGCCTGATGTACCCATTTCAACGCCGGGCACCCAAAAATTCTACCCCTGCGCCGCCGGTGCACCGGGGGCCGAGGGACGTAAGCTCCGCGGCGGGGGCCAGGGCCGATGAGCTCCCCGAAGAACGTAGGCACAGGTAGTCAGGCTGCGGCGTTTTATATCTTTAGTGTCTTGCTGGAGATATCTACTATGGCATCTTACCAGAGAAGTTCCTAGCATCATTTTCATCCTCAACCTGTTTGACGCCGTCAGCAACTAGCTGATAGCCTCCGGCGGCCTGATCATGGGTCTCGGCGTCCTCCCGTTGGCGGAAAGTACCATGCCCAACGACGCAGCCAAGTCCGTAAATGATGCGCCTCAGCAGTCTACCTCCGGCGGCGAAAAGACGGAGCGTCGGGGGGCCATCTCGCAGCGAGCCTCGAGAAACCTCGCATGGTTCCTCAAGAAGCACGCTGGGCACATGGCCCGCATGGAGGCTAAACAGCCACAGATCGATCTCATGACGGCAGAAAACTGGATCATGCGCGATGCCCTGACAGTCCTCTACAAGGATTACATCTCTGCCGGCCTATCGACCAAATCTCTATCCTATGCAGACGGCCTTGGTGGTGACCCGGCGCTTCTCCAGGCGACGGCCGAGTTTTTCAACCGACACTTCAAACCGGTAATCGCGGTAAAGCCCGAACACATCGTGACGGGAGCAGGATGCAGCGCCATACTGGATAACATGTTGTACGACGTATGCGACCGGGGCGACGGCGTCCTTGTGGAAGCTCCCTTCTGGGGTGAGTCAACATTGCTCAAAGTGTCTGGAAGTTTCGGGCTATGACTTGGTTGTTTACTGATGCAGAATCCGGTGTGTGTGAGGATAGGCGGGTTTGAAACGAGCTTTGTCTTGAGATCAGAAGCTGTGCCAGTCCATGTCCAGCCCACCGACCGATCGAGCCGAGCCGAGACCTTCATCGCAGCATATGAGGAAGCCTTGACCTCGTCGAAGTGTCCCATCAAGGCGCTGCTCTTCTGCAACCCGCACAACCCTCGTGGCGATTTATATCCTCGTGAGCATATCGAGGCGCTGCTTCAATTCTGCGAGACTCACGACATACATTTCATATCGGACGAGATCTACGGTCTGTCGACGTTCCACGACGGCGGACGCGAAAATGGACCAGGCTTCGTTTCGGTTCTTGAGTGCGACTTGAAGAAACTCAATGTAGATCCGGCACGGGTACACATCATCTACAGCATTAGCAAAGACATGGGAAGCAGTGGGTTAAGGCTCGTATGTATCCCCACCATCCAAGCGTCATTAGAAAACTTCCAGCGCTGACGTGGACGGCTGCTGTAGGGATTTCTCGTCACGCAGGCGCACCCTGATCTTCGCCTATCTCTGGCCATATCCAATCACTCCAAGGTCTCAACTTTGACTTCTACGGTGGCTACCGCCCTGCTCTCCAACAAGGAAGGGCTTGATGAAATACTCGCAGAGAGCAGGATCAAGCTAGCTGCGTCAGCGGGCGCCATAATGGACTTCCTTTCACACCACGGCTTCAAATACATCCGCCCTCTCGCGGGTATCTTCATATGGGCACGTCTGGGTACTGTTGGTTGCACCTGGGAGGAAGAACGGGAGCTGAGCCGTAAGCTTCAGATGGAAGGGGCATCTCTCGGTGCGGGTGGCAGCTATTGTGCTATCGAGCCCGGGTGGTTTAGGATCACTTTTGCCCTACCCACGCCGGTGATGAACAGAGCTATGAGGGTGATTGAAGACGCCCTTGGACTTACAAACCACTGGGAGCCGGAAGTGCAAACGCGGGCGGAGGCCTAGCTATAATCGCCCATCTTTGGTGGCCTCATGCAGCATCCCATATGTAACAAGCATGGATGTCATCACATCCTATAGCCGACATCAGCAGTAAGGTATACGATTTTATAACTGCTTTTTTTTACTAACTGTTATTTTTTCCCAGACGGAATAATACGCCAGACGGCTGATCCTGCTCTCAGCGAGCTGACTATGATCACTGCATTTAGGCATGTATTGTAATCAAATTCTATAAAAATACTGTCCTTCAGGCCGTCAGTTAGACCGAAATGAACTATTCCCACCAATCCATCCAGTCTGATAACCCCGGCCGCGAAGTTTTGCACCTTGTAGAGGGCTTCAAGAATCCAACGGTGTTGAAACCCCCGGTCCATTCCAGCTGGCTTATTGCTCAATGCTTTCGGGCTCCGTAGAATCCCTCGGTGTCCGGAGCCCCTGTTTCCAAATAAACAAAACAACGGCAATCTTGGCTAAGCACTCTGCGGCCTGCAACTCCCACATGCACCAGAGTCGACTCCACTACAAATTTGTGGCCGTCTTTTGTGTCTGATCAACATCCATCCAAACACCCCGCGTCAACAAGCTCAAACATGGCAAGCGATCACACGGCGGAACCACTCCTGTCCCAGACCGGGATGGTCTGGTACTTTGCATATGGCTCCAACATGAGGTCATCTGTCATGACGAACCGATCAATCACACCCCAAAGAGCTGTGGCAGCCCGAGTCCCAACACACGTCCTTACTTTTGACATCTTTGGCTTCCCATACTCCGAACCGTCGTTTGCCAGCATAGCAGAGCGCTCCAACGTGGCCGTCAAAACCGTTTTGAGCAAGAATGGCACCGTCGAGTTGCCGCCTGTGCACGGCGTAGCCTACCTGATAACCCAGGAGGAATATATCAAGCTGGTGGTCAGTGAAGGAGGAGGGGTTGCGTACCGAGAGATCGAGATCGAAGCCGAATTTCTCACCGAGAAGGGCCAGCCTTCTGGGCAGAGAGCTACCGTCTCAACACTGGAAGCCAAATACCCATTCCGGCCCAACGCTGCGCCGAGTGCGCGTTACCTCGTAAGTACCATTTCTGGACAGCTAGCCGGCAAGATTCCGTGTTCTCTTTGCTAATTTAGAATGCTACCAAACAGGGCCTGCTCATAACCGGGGCGGCGGAACACAAGCTCCCACACGACTACCAGGAATACCTCCACCAGTTAGAGTGCCTCGAGCCCCCCCAATCACGTTTGCTACGACTACGAGCATTCTTCTTCTTGTCTTTCTGGAAACCAGTCCTACAGCAGTTGGTAAAATATATGAAGGCAAACGTGAAAGCAGATGGTCACTGCGAACAGTGGATCGAGGACCTGATCGTTAGGGGATACGGGGCCATGTGGTCTTCTCACAACTGGGTGTACGCGCCCTTTTGGGGTCGCGGAGACGGGAGATAATAGTTCGTGATTTGGACCTCCCTCAGAATGGACTTTCCTAAGCAATTTTATTCCCCCTACCAGCATTACAAATGTTAAAAAAGTATGAGTTGCCACTATATTAAAAATAAATAAATATTTTAGTAAAAATTACTTTAATTTTATATTTTATATAAAAGATTTTTTATAATTAAATAATTTTTATAAAATTAATAATAAAAAGTTAATATTAAAAAAGAATATTTATTGAAAAATATAATAATATTATTATTATAACTTTTTAATTATTAATATATTATTAATATTAAATAAAATAATTATTATTATTATTTTAATTTATGTTATAATAATATATTAAAAATAAAATATTTTTTATAAAATTTATTATAAAAGTTTAATTTACTAAATTTTTATTATTTTTATTAATTTATTTATATTTTACTTTAATTAAATAAAACTTAAAATAAATTTAAGGTTTTAAATAATATTTAATTAATATATTATTTATAGAATTTTAAATAAAAAAATTATAAAAAAAAGTTTATTATAAATTAAATAATAATATAAAAGAAATTATATATTAAAAAACATAATAAATATATTAATATAAAAAATATTTAAAGTTTTATAATAAATTTTAAAAATAAAATTAATAAAAAAATCATTATATTATAATTTAATATTTTATATTAAATATAATTAAATATATATTTTTAATATAAAAAATAAATTAATTATTAATTAATAACTATTTATAATAAAAGTAATATATTTTTATAATTATTTTTATATAAAAATAATAAATAATAATTATTATTTTTAATTATTTTAAAAATAGTAATTAAATATATAAGCTTTACTTTATAACATTTATTTAAAACAGTTAAATAATTAATTATAAATATAATATTTAACTTAAATTTATTTAATACTTTTTATTAAATTATATAACTATTTATATTATTTAAATATTTAATTTAGTTTATTTATAGAAATAAATTAAAATTTAAATTAATTTTTTAAAAATCTTAATTTATGTTAATTTATAAATATATAGTTTATTATATATATTTAAAATATTATTGTTAATTAATTTAATAATATACTATTTTTTTTTAAAAAAAAATTACAGCTAAGTTAAAGTTATATATTTAATAACCTTAAGGAAATAAACTACTTAAATTAACTAAAGCTTTAATAATATTATAAAACATTTACTATAGCTTTCTTTTATAAAAAAAAAATAAAACTACTTTAATTTTTTTTAAAAATAACTTAAACAGTAGTGTTTAGGTTATTTATTTTATTTAATAATTATATATAGCCTTAGGGAAATATTATTTTATTTTAGCTGATATATTTATATTAATATATTAATAGTAAAAAATATATACTACTATATTTATTAATAAGTAGAATTTTCAGGCTTTTATTAAACTAAACTTTCAGTCTATTATAATAACTATTAGTTAAGGAATTTTAAGCTAAATACAAAATTAATAAATAATACTAATAGCTTAATTATAATAGCTTTTAGTTTTACTAAACAAAAAAACTATAGCTATTTAAAAGCTTTCCTTTAATAAAGTTACTTTATAAATGTTAAATAAAAGTATATCAAATTTATTAATTTTATAAGTGCTGCTTATTAAGACAACAGAAAGATATTAACGAAGGAGGTTAAACAAGGCCTTAGGTGCAATAAACAACGCTGTCAGTCAATTCCCCTTATTACGGCAATCCTAGTAGTAATATATATCACTATCTTTAAGTTAGTCAAAGAGCCACTGCATCTCAGTGCAGCTGGCGAGCTCTTCATAATAATGCCATATTATGGTATTATAAATGTCATAACAGGTCAACCCTTTGACATTAAGGTCATCTTCAGATTGAATTTATAATAGAATTTAAATAGGTCGAATCCCAGAATTATAGAAAGAGATAATACTCGCTTTTTTTTTTTTAATAATTATATTCCGGTATCTGGAATGTACCGTAGACGGAAGTAATTAATATGTGTATTCACTTACATTATTGTTTTAAGTACGTCGAATTACCCAAGAGCACATAGAGTTCTGTCGACCTACAACAAGCCTGAATGGGCACCCAGTCATCTGCGAGCTTGTCTGACGGCGCTGTGAGGCAGGGAGATTGGTGTTACCTTGTGACTTGAAGCTTTTCCCTTTGCTGCAGCGGAATTGAACCCAGTTGGACCTGCTTCGTTGTATGGCGAAGTTGTAGCCAATTGTCTGCCCAACGGCGTCAATGGCAGCCCTGTCCTTTTCAAACGAGGCAAATTGGCGGCCAATAACAACTCCATAGCCGCCGGCGATAGTGTGTAAGTTAGTGTTGTAAATAGCTTCAATTTGACACCAATTTCAACCAAGTTGAAGGATTGAGGTACTAATGAGGGATTTACAATGTCTTATTTTCTATGTAAAACGCTAAGAATAAGCGACATCGGTCATAGCCCTCAAGTAACAACGAGCTACAAGTCGCACCGCCACAGGACCCAATTTTGTGGTAGCTTGTTAAGCTAGGAAGGTAGCCTGATAAGCCGTCCCTATATATGTGCGAGCCTTGGAAGAGCACTCAGTCGTAAAAGATGGAGTGGCCATGGCTCCAAATCAGTTAAATGCTGTCTACTCTGATATCTGTGTACCAAACTTCAATCTTGCAGCAGAAAATGCTTCCACACTCAACGATTCATTTGCATGTCTGCTGTCACTAAGCCCTGCGACCCCAAACAGAATTGAATCTCAAAAGGCTGCCGACCGTATCGACCTCTACTTTGAGGTCTCGTAGCACGGCTTCAAAATCCTCGGCCTTGATATCTGAGTCGGCAGGTAGATCTTTGTCAAATTAGCAATCAAGGACACCACGGATGAGACCAACACGGGTCCTGCCAACGGAAAGAGAGAGAAAGAGACGGGGGGAGGGGAGAATCAGCTTACCCTTTGAAGCCTGCGTGAAGTGCTCCACTACCGTGAGTAAATTCTGCTTGGCCAAGTCACCCAAACGGCGGTCCGTATTGCCCGCCCCGACTGGAATCTCCATGATTTTCTCTGAGACGTCCTGGAGGCCCTCCGCCTCCATCCAGCCTCGAACCTGGAGGCCCACTCTCTGGTTCCAGCCCAATCCTGGGAGCATGCGTGCTACCAGCGTCTGGAATCTGTGCAGCGCAGGGTACTTGGGCTTCTGTTCTTCAGTGAGATGCTCGAGGGCTCCCTCCACGAGCTGCACCCAGCCGGTGCCGGGCTTTGCGAGCTCAATGAGAGCCTTGACGGCGTTCTGCCCGATTTCTGGGGTTGTGCCCGCCAGCACCAGCCTCTGGTGCACAAGGTCGAACGTGCCCTTCCAGGCCTCTGGCCATGGCTCGGACACCGACTGCACATGGTAGCTCGGTCCGTTGGCCGATGCTGGCGGGAACATGGCTGGGGAGATGTCGGTGCCGACTAGGACCGGCGCGTTGACCAGCTTGGCTGCCTCTTCGAGCCAGTAACCTAGAAAATCAACCGAGTCAGGCAAGATACTAACAGCAGGACTAGAGACCAAGGGCCGCTGCCTGAAGGATGGGGAGAAGGGGTTATCCATGACGTACCATCAAAGGTTGCGCTGTCGAGAATCTTCAGGCCTTTCTGCTCCCGGTTGATTGGGGCCAGAATCAAGCTGCCCATGTATGTTTCGAGGAGGTCATGTTGAAGGTGAAGACGCTTAACTTCACCGTCGTCGTAGGGCAGGAGGTAGTTAGAGTCTGGGAGTTGCTCGTCGGCCATGGTGGACTAAAGTAGCTCTGTTATTTTTAGGATTGTAATTTCCAATGTAGGTGTCCGTCATGTACGTATTGAATACAAGTTTCTATCGTTGGTGCAGCCTCTTTTATCCCCGGTCCGGCGCGATGTGAAACGGCAGCACTCCAGTGAAATGGACCGGAGGCCGAGCCATTTTGGTCCGCCGAGGTTTCTTGTCGCCATCTGACTAGAATATTTGTCTGCTGGACAAGTCAGATTGAGCGTCAGCTCGACGTGGTACTGGTATGTAAGAGTAAGCTGCTAACAGGGGGGTGGTTTTAACAGAGGCTTAGATATAAAAGTATTTGATATTTAATTAATGGGATATTTAGGAATGAAAGGTAAAAGGTAGCTGCTAAATAAAATAACTATACTATATTATTAAATATTAATTTTTTATTAAATAAATTTTTAAAATATATAAATTTTTAATTTATAATTTATTAAAAACTTAAAAAAAAATTATAAATTAGTATATTATTTTATATAATATTTAATATATATAATATTTTAAACTTTAATAAAATATATATATAAAAATATATTTTATTATTTATTAAAAATATATAACTATTAATGTTTTTTATAATATTAAATATTAATTTATATATATATATATATATATTAAATTTTAAATTTTAAATTAATTTATTTTAAATTTTAATTTCATTTATTTTAAATTTTAATTTCATTTATTTTAAATTTTAATTTCATTTATTTTAAATTTTAATTTCATTTATTTTAAATTTTAATTTCATTTATTTTAAATTAATAAAGTAAAAACTTTTTAAAAATTATTTTAAATATTTACTTTCTATAATAAAATATTATTAATAATAGTTAATTAAATAAATAATAATATATTAATATACTTAAGTTTAAAAAGTTAAATTAATTATAAAATAAAAAAAAATATAAAAAAAACTTAAATAAAACTTTTTTAATTATATAAGTTAACTTATATTTTTAATAATAGTATAATAATTATTATATTTATAATAACTAACTTAATTTTTTACTTTATTAATATTATAGTATAATAAAATATAATAATATATATATAATATTATTATTAAATAATTAAAATTCTTAAAAATTTATATATTTTAAAATATTTTAAAATTTTTTATATAATATTATTTAAATGTAATTATAATAATATAATATTTTATTAAAGTATTTTATAAATATTTTATTATATTAATTTTTTAATAATATTTTATATAATTATAATTTAAAATTATAAATTATTTAATATAAATTTTATAAATTAAATTAAAACTTTTTATTTTAAATTTATTAATTTTATAATAATTAATAATAATAATTAAAATATTAACTTTTGTATAAGTTTAATATAAAAAGTTTTAAAAAATATTTAATTTAATTAAGTTAATTATATTAATACTTTATATTAAATTTAAATTTATAAATAATTAAAAACTTAAATTATTAATATAATTATTATAATAATTTAAAAAAAAATATTAATTAAATTAATAAATTAAAAAACTTTATTAATATTAATAATTTTAATTTATATTATTTTTTATAATAATTTATAAAAAACTTTAATAAAAACTTTATTATAAATATAAAAAAACTTTATTATATTTATATATTAAAAATATTAATAAATATTAAAAATATTAATAAGTATTAAAAATATTAATAAATATTAATAATTTATATAAATTATTATTTTTTATAATAAATATAAAATTTTTAATTTATAAATTTATAAATTTATTTTATAACTTATTTTAAAATATAAAAAACATTAAAATATATTTTATATTTAATCTGAAATATAATAAATAATATTATAATTATTATATTAAATTATAAATAATAATATTTAAATTATTATAATTAACTTAATATTATTATTGATAATAAATATTTTAAAAAACATTATATTTTAATAAAGTATATAATTTTAAATAATAAATATTAAAATAATATTTAAATATATTTTAAATTTTATTATAAAAATTAAATTATTTTTTTATATATTATATAACTATATATTTATATTTTATTTTTATTTCTTTTTAATTATTATTTTATATTATTATTATTTTTTTAAAATACTTTTATAAATTTTATATTATTTACTTTAAACTTTATTATATATTATTATTATTTATTAATTTTTAAACTTTTTATTAATATAATATATAAATAATTATTCAATATTAATTTAATTTTAACTTTTACTTTATTTATTATAAATTATAATACTTATTATTTTTATATTTTAATTAAATTCTATATATTCTTTTTCACGTAATATAAATTCAAGATTAGTTTTAAGTTTATAATAATTTAATTTTTAATAAACTAAATTAAATTTTAATTAATAGTAAATATTACTATTACTTTAAACCTCTCAACGAGCCCAAGTCGCCGTACTGTAGTTATCTCAGCGCTATTAACGATTCCTAACGTAGTCTGCGTCCAGAGCTTCACTTATACAATCGGGGATCCCGTAGTTTTCGGTGTGCCCCTATGTGTCCCCACACCCCTGGTAGGACCTATGTCTGGTACTAACTGCAGAGCAACTAGCCCAGCACCAGTAGTTTGGTGACCTTTGGACATTTGATCCCAAGTCTCACAAGAATGTACCATGCATTCTCTCCTGTCAAATGTTGTCTACGAATGTTTTCAGCTGACTAGGTACATGACTTCCTACCAGGATTGTCGCTACTGCGTTCTAGCCCAACTACCCTGCTGAACCCCAAAAATGAGATCATTTCCAATGTTCATGAACACGTTCCCGTAGCCGTAGAACTCCCATAAACCAGATCATACACGGTCACAAGTCATCATAACTTCCGGCAAAAGCACCCAGCTTTGGTCTTGGAGCTGAAAGTCCTTGTCCTTGTCCACGGACTCCTTGATGGAGAGGCGATATCGGCTGAGCATTTCGGCGAGTAGTGCCCGTACCATTCTATCCGCAATATGCTGGCCCAAGCATTTTCGAGGGCCAAACCCGAATCTAAAGAAGTGATAGCGATACTGCCACGTCTGGGGTGAGCGAGGAAACTTTGTAGAGATGGTTGGGAAGTCGAGCTTACCTGACGAGGTTGCATGCCTTCAAAGCGGTGAGGATTGTACTCGGTCCCGTTGACCCAGAATGGATGGGCAACATTAATGGCGTGAGTGTCGACGATGACATCCGTCTTTTATATGGCATCAGCATAAAAATCCTGATTCAAACGCGACATGCTGGTACAGAAACAGCGGCGGACTTACGTTTCGCGGAATAACAACGTCCCCGACTACCTTGTCAGTTGGCGCGGATTCCGGATTTGAGAAGGCTAACATTGACGCACGACGTGATTAGCTAGGAATTACGCGATAGAGAACAATAAATGGAAGCTTCGAGGGTGAGTTACCAAGAATTGGCCGAAGTCGAGATGCCTCAAGGACGCTGTAGGCCAGGAGTGTGTCGGATCTGTTGATGTACTTCTCCCATTCCTCCGTGGGCAACTGCATATGTTCCCGAACTTCCGCCCGAACCTCGTCCTGGATAGCTGGGTGCTGGGCCAAAAGTACGTGGCTCCAGGTGACAGCGCTCGTTGTGACATCAAGATTGGCGTAAAGGCTCTCGTCCACAGTTTGCATGCACTTGAAGTATCCACTATCAGTAACATATCTCTTACAAGACCAGAGCGAGAGGGGTTGGTGACTAACTTCTTCCACGGTCAGATTCTTCCCTTCCCTCGCCTCCTTCAACAGTTGCTCAATGTGCCCATTCTTGCCTTTGGCGATAGATTCCTCGTATGCGTTCTCGATAAAATCTCTCCATCTGGTCTTGAACTCCTCGAGCAAGCGCGCGCCTCGAGTTCGGAAGTACTTTGCTAGGAGAGTCCTGTTCTGTCCTCCATGGATGCCTTCCCTCCATAGTTCCTCTCGTAGTGGAGCGAGCTTGGTAAGGGTTTCTTTTTGGGCTGCGGACAGCTTGCCAAACAAGATGCTCGCGACTAGGAAGAATGGAAACATCTTCAGCGCCTGGGTGGCCTGGATTTCAAACGTGGCGGAGGAACCCCCTGCTTGATTTTCTAGATTTTGAACGAACTCGCGAGCTGACGCTCTCATGAGACCGACGTACGACTTGGCCTGTGGGAGAGAGAATGGATGCTCCCAAGGAATTCGCATGTTGACCCAGCGGCTGCCGCTCACCAGACCGAGACAAGAGCCCAACACCTCGCCGATAAGCCAACCGCTGTTGTTATTAGGTGCCTTTCGATGCTTGTCCGAGTCGTGAAAGAAATCTCGTAGGTTGTCGGGGCTAGTAAGTACTCTGTGCGACATGCCAATTAACATCAAGTCCCATCCATGGCTGGTGGCCCTTTTTCCAAAGAGCGGCGCGCTCACATTTCTGGCTTGAAGCCTGCCCATATTTGGTATATGTATCCCTTTTCTTTCCGCCATCTTATTGAAGAAGCACGGCCCTCGAAAAACTTCTGCGTCCCCTGGCCATTGGGCCATTCAAAGTTGAGTACGGGGACTGGCCGGCCACCTTTTTGAAAGGTACATGGACGAGCCGATCGTTGCAGGATAAACTATCTGCTAAGTCAGTTGGCTGTTTCCTCATTGTCTGATTTCCTAAGAGGAGCACGCACGTTTCCAAACCGAGAGAGAAGTGATCCCGACGCATTATCGACGCATACAACGTAAAAGACCAGGGCTGATGGCAGCAACAGCAAGAGCAGCACCATCACGTTGGATCCGTCCCTCTCCATAACGAATATACAATGTAACTAATCAGTGAGCCTGAAGTTGATTAGGTCTGATCGTCACAACGTAGGAGCAGAACAGGAACCCAAGGGCCCCTATACGAAGTTACACGGGGATCCTCTTTGCCTTGAGACCCTCGTTGATGACGCCCCGGCAGCCGGGGATCCTTGAGCCGGGGATCCTTGAGCCGGGAATCCTTGAGCCGGCAACCGACCATCCTAGATCCGGATGCCGACGCTTTTCAGGTCCGAGACGAAACACTCGCGCGTGGCGTGGCGTGGCGTGGCGATCGGGATGGCTCGTACCATTCAAAGCCTCATATCTATCCAGGTTTTGATGATTCAATAACTAGATCACGCCACTCTTGCGACATATTGCGGACATTCTCTACCTAATAACAAAACACACATTTATTTTAACGAGAATGCATTTTCAACTGAAAACGTTGAGCGATATCCTCCGCAACTCTGCAGATTTGTACGGCGATAATGTTGCCGTTGACCATGATGAAGGGGTCATTACCTACTCAGAGCTCCAAAGTCTCTCATTTGGATTCGCGCGTCAGCTTCAGGAAATTGGCGTGACTCGAGGAGATCGCGTACCCTTACTCACAACTCATGGCACTCGAAATATTGTCGCCCTGTTGGGCATCCTGATTGCAGGTGCATGCTATGTGCCCATGGATAGGGGCACATGGTCCGAGGAGAGGATCCAGTCTGTCCTAAACATCGTGAAGGGCAGTGTGTTAGTCAACACTACGCCGGACAGGTTTGAGCATGGAGGCTATCGCACCGTTCATTTGCGGAGCCTCAATGGTCTCAAACATGCTGACGAAGGTTTCGAACAACCAACTCTTGACTCATCCAGTCTCGCATGCATCATTTTCACCAGCGGTTCTACAGGAAGACCGAAGGGTGTGATGATACCCCATGGAGCGATTGCCAACTACGCCATGACTTCCCCCTTTAACATGGACGTACGCCATGAGGACCGGGTCTTGCACATTTTATCAGTTGCTTTTGATGGTGAGTTCCTGGCACACGCGTCTTAATCTCTGCTTTTTATCACTGGTTAATCAACTTTCTAACATTGTCTCGTTTATAGCCTCAACTGGAATGCTCTTTTCCATCCTTTACGGAGCTGGCACTATCGTCCCCGCTTCCAAGATTGATTTAATAACTAAGGCACAGTCGTGCTCAATAATAGCCTGCACACCATCGATTCTGGCAACATTACCACCGCCGACCTTGAAAGAGTGTCAGTACCCTGATGTTCACACAATACTACTCGGTGGTGAGACAATACCACAGGAGCTTATAGATGCTTGGTGCTTCAGCGGGAGGAGGATATTAAATGCATACGGCCCTACGGAGACCACATGCGCCTCCCTGATGCACGTCATTGAGTCCTCGGGCGACAAGCGACAAGAGAGCAATGCCATCATTGGAAAGGCCATGCCCAACGCCCCCGTATATCTCCTTGATTCAGAAATGAGAGAGCTCCGAGAGAGCGGCCAGGAGGGCGAGATTGTAATCAGTGGACCAGGAGTTACACACGGCTACTTTGAAGATGAGGAAAAGACGAACAAGGCGTTCATAAATAGAAACGGGCGGAGGATGTACAGAACCGGCGACTACGGCATGTGGACGAAAGACAGCCGCGGGGATCTTGTCATCGAGTTCCGTGGGCGGAAAGACAGGGTTGTGAAAAACCGCGGCTTCCTCGTGAACCTCGACGCGGATATCGAGACGCCTATGTCATCTATGGGATTTGGGATACAGAGCATCCATGTTGCGCAGTTTCGAAAGAAGGTTATTGCCCTGGTCTGCCCCGAAACTGTTGATACAGACAGCCTACGTCGGCTGATGCTCAAGACGCTCTCCTCCTTCATGGTACCTGACCGAATCATGGCCGTCCAGACCCTTCCGATGACGGCAAACGGCAAGGTAGACCCTCGAGGCGTGCTCCAGATGTTAGAAGACGGAGACGATATGAAGTTGGAAGAGACAACCACTGAATCAGATGCGCCGGGAAGCGAGGTCTGGTTCGCGGTGAAGGACTGCGCCAGGCGGACGCTGGGTCTAGGAAACGTCGCCTTGGAGCCCTCTTCGAACATATTCTCTCACGGTGCCTCGTCCCTGGACGTTCTCATGTTTGTGTCACTGTGCCAGAAGAGGGGCTACAGCGTTACTGTCCAGGAGGTGTACAGCGCGCATAGTCTCGATGACATATGTAGGAGCATAAGCGCCGCTGCCGCCACTTCTCAGCCAAACGATCGCGCATCAGGAGCCGATGAGGATGAAGAGTTGGAGAACGGCATTATCGATGGTCCTGTTCCTGTGTGCGCTCCCATGACGCCTCTGCAACTCGAGCTGGCGGGGCCAACCTTGGCGGTGAATGGCAAGAATACGAACAGGATTTGCATCCGCTATGACATCCAGCATGCAGACACCATAGAGGAGGCTTGGCACAAGGTCTGGAGATCTGAACCCATCTTTAGGACCAAGTTCCTCCTAGAAGGAGAGTCGGGTGGCACACAGCACATCGAAGTGGCGCCGTTGACTCTTCCCACGCGGGTCACCTTCACAGACTATTCGGCGTATAAGCAGGCCTCAGACAGTGCTTCGCTCTGCGTCGGACTTGGGACACGACTCGATGTTCTTCGATTTGTGCCTGAGGGAGAGAACGCGCACCGCGCAGAAGCAACAATCGTGTGGACAGCGCACCATTCTCTTATCGACGGATATGCAATGGCCGCCATCCTCGCCAAGGTGGAGGCTGCCGCCGCCGAGGCGTCTGTAAACCACGAAGCGGAATCTTTCATGGTTGTGGCTCGGAGATTGGTTGAGATGCAGGAGAAGCGTGACTCGGTGGCCAAGGAGTTCTGGTCCACGTATCTGCGCGACGCCCCTTTCATCGAAAATCTGGGTCTCCCGCGACCTCGAGTTGACTGTGCCGATGTGGCCGGCGAGATTCGTTTCTCGAGCGCAGTATCCTTTGATGACCTCCGCAAGTTTGCTTCCGAGAACCAGGTGACCTTTGCAACCGTCCTCTACACTGCCTGGGCCATGACGATTTCCAAATATACCAATCAAGACACAGTGACCGTCGGTGCCGTCGTCTCTGGCAGGGAATCGCCATTGGTTTCCCAAGCGTCCATCGGCCCTACGATAAACACTCTTCCCCTGGTGGTTAAAGTCCAGTCTGATATCACAATCAGGGAGGTGCTGCGCGAAACGCTCCGTGGTCTCGCCGAAATCACCGGGTACGCATGGAGCACGCCACAGCAAATAGATCATCGACCCGCGAGCGTGGTGGCCTTGCAATATGACTATCCGAAATACCCCCTGACTGTCCCAAGGCTCGGCGTCGAGTCGTTCGAAAACACGGCGTTCCCCCTGAACCTCTTGGTAGAGGAGGGCGGGCTGTTCCGTCTGGTATATGACCCGGCGGTCTATGGCAAGGCTTACGCCCGAGACATTGAGATGTACTTCCAACGAGTTCTGGAGGTCATGGTGAAGTCTCGGGGTCGGGCATCGAGCATCCCTCCCACGATATCAGAGGCAGAGGAGACTCTCATAATGCGCGAGTGGAACCCTCCCACCTCGCCTTCGGTCATTTCTCAAACCCTGCAGGGGACTTTCGCCAAGTCTTTGAGGAAGCATGCTGATTTACGTGCCGTCGAATGCGTGGGCGAGTCGCTCACATACCGCGAGTTGGACTCGTTGGCCAGCAAGGTTGCTCTCAAGATTCGTTCCTTGTTCCCCCCGGCGAAGCCCATTGCTATTCACGCAGACGGCTCACTGAACTGGATCGTGGGTATTCTGGGAATCCTTAAGTCCGGGAGCCCGTACTGTCCTCTGGACCCCCAATACCCACTCGCGAGAAGAGCCGCGGTATGCACCGCTGCAGGAGCCGTCGGATTGTTGCTCCCCAGCGACAAATACGTGTCGGAAAACCCGCTCCCCGACCTCCAGACGCTCATTGTGTCGGAGACAATCCAGGACGCAGCCCCTGCCGAGAGCGTGTGCTTTGAGGCCGACCCAGCCACTGACGCTCTCATCGTCTTCACATCCGGCACCACGGGCGCCCCCAAGGGTGTGCCCATCAGCCATCGCGGCCTGCTGTCGCTGCAGTCCAACCCGGAGGCTACCATGTTCAGCCGCCCCGGCAAACGCATCGCCCAGATGATGTCTCCTGCCTTCGACTACTGTTCCAACGAGATCTTCTCTGCGCTGCTTCACGGCGCCACGCTGGTGCTCCGAGACCCCACCGACCCTTACGCGCACTTGAAGTCTGTAGACACGGCAACGCTCACTCCTTCGCTGATGGCGGCTCTTGATCCCCACGATTACTCCGCTCTCCGGACGGTAAGGCCCTTTACAAATAAAGCCCCTTGGATGGTACAGTGAGTAGTGTGCTTATACTAACTGGCTTGATCAGATATATGCGACGGGAGAACCTGTTACACCTGGGCTAGTCCAACACTGGGCTCCGGGACGAGAATTCTACAATGCCTACGGTCCGGCAGAGGTATGTGTATATCCAGCTGACATGGGCACATGGCACAACGCAAAGTCGAGTGAGCTCCAAGGTCGAACTAATTTTCCATGTGCTAGGGTTCCATCTGTGTATCCTTTACGAAACTGGTTCCCGGACAGGACATCACCATTGGCCGCGCCATACGCACCGCCCGAATGTACATCCTCGACAAGAACAGTCGCCACCAGCCTGTCGGGGCCCTTGGAGAGCTGTACCTCGCCGGTGTACAGGTCACTCGGGGCTACCTCAACGCGGAGGAGCTGACCAAGCTTCGCTATCTCCCGGACCCGTGGTTTCCTGGTGAGATGATGTACCGGACTGGTGATTTCTGTCGCTGGACTCGAGACGGAAACGTCTTCTACGTCGGGCGACTCGATCGCCAGGTCAAGATCCGTGGCTTCCGCATCGAGCTTCCCAGCGTCGAACAGACCATTTATGCGGTGGACCCGCTGGTCGTCCTCGTCAACGTTCTTGCCATGGACGACACTCTTATTGCTGTGGTGAAGCCCGCATGCATCGACACAGTCAAGATGAAGAAGGAGCTGTTGGGCAAACTGCCTCCGTCCTGGGTTCCTCAGAGATTTGTGGCTACGGACAACTTTCCCTTGACGCAGAATAAGAAGATCGACATGGTTGCGCTCAAGGACATGCTCGACAGTGCCGAGACAAGTGAGGCCTCCGCCCCGGAAGAGGCCATGGAAGGCAGTGTGGCAGAAGGCGTCGGGCGAGAGTGGAAGAATCTGCTCAAGATCAGAGATGAGAGGCCCCTCGGCGCGTCGGACCGCTTTACGGAGCTCGGAGGACACTCGATCCTGCAAATGCTGCTGTCTGCCCGACTTTCAGCCCGGTTCCAGATTCGCCTGACCCTCCGAGACGTTCTACAGGCCGATACGCTCCAAGATCTCGTCGAGTTGGTCAAGACGCGACAGGCGTCTGGAACCGACCGAGTCGTGGCCAAGGCGCGAAAGCTGGCTGCCGATGCCCTGTCCCCCGTGGAGGAGTACCAATGGTCCGAATATAAGGTGGCATCTTCTGCTTCCACTTCCGCGAGCATGTTCAATATTAACCTGGTGCTGAACCTCCAAGGGGACTTCTCCCGAGAGGCTCTCGTATCTGCGCTCAACAAGGTCCTAGCAGAGCACGAGATTTACAGGTCCAACTATGTTGAGTCCTGCGGCCGCGCTCGCAGGACCCTGCGAAGCACCCCGCCGCGGGTTCGGGAGCAAGCCGTACTCGATCTGGAGCAGGAGATCAACTACAACTTCAAGGTTTGCGAAGACGAGTTGATTCGCATTCATCTCTGGGGCGACAAGTTTGTCCTCGTCGTCAGCCACATGATTGCGGACCTCAACAGCTTGGAGAATTTCTTCAACGACGTATCGGTAGCGTACAACACGGCGAAAGCACCGTCGATGAGCATGGTCCAGGACTACATTTCCTTGCCGAGGTGGGAGCAGCCGCCCAGCCCCGAAGATAGCCAGTTCTGGGTCGATTACATGAAGGGAGCCCAGCATCAAGTTCCCCTGGGTAAGCCCTCTACCGCCTCTCGATACGTAGGGCAATCCGAGACTGTCCAGGTTCCCCCAGCCTTGGCTAAGAGTCTCGGGCGCATGGCACAAAGCCAGTCTGTTACCCGGCACCATCTTGCTCTCGCCGCGGTTGCCCTGGCCCTCCGCCGCATCACGCAGAAAGATGACCTGGTGCTCGGAGCGCCCTGCTCGTGCCGAGTCTCCGTGCCTGAGCAGCAATCCATGGGCTTGCTTCTAGACCGCCTTCCCGTGCGCATTGGAAAGATCCGGGGCAAGACAACTACTGCTGCGCTCCTGAGCCAGGTACGCAAGGCCAGCCAAGCAGCCCTTGCGCACGTGGTCCCGTTCCCTGAGCTGCTCCGTATATTGGGCATCGGTCGAGACACCGAGCGCCACCCCGTCTTCGAGGTCATGGTTACCTTCCATTTGGGCAATGGGCCTAGCGAGAGCATCAAGATCCCCAACTGCACTGCATCGGGCGAGACGATGTATGCCTCTGGCTCCAAGTTCCTCATCATGTTCGAATGGACGGAGCACTCGGAGGAGGACTGGTCACTCCGCATCGAGTACAACACAACCCGGATTTCTCCCCCGGTGCTCGCCCAGGTCAAGGAAAACTTGTGGGCCGCTCTCGATGGTCTTGCCGTGGGGGCTGACGTTGAAGAGCTGCCTCTCTCGGACCATGCGTAGAGCCGCAGTGCTCTGGAAGGATCCCTTTTGAATCCATCACACTACCAGCTCTCCTCCCTAACTATTCGCAGCCTCCCCAACCCTCTGCCTGCTCCCTGAACACGGTAAATGGGGCCTACGGATTGATTCTTCTGCGCGAAGAAGTCTGTTCATCTAAATGGGGAGTTGACTAGTCAACGAGGCCGAGTGGGCCCCCACCACTCTCTGAGCGGCGGGTACATAAGCTATTTTCTATTATGATATTATAGCTATCTAATAGTTTAGATAGATTTTTTATGTTATATTTTATCCAATAGATTGTTTATATTACAAGCCAACTGAAAGAACTTTAATGTCTGTGAGCCTTGGAGCAACTGCGTATTTACATGTTTCTGTAGTATTTAAGACGGTTCGAGGCTTGGTTTCTCGGCAAGTGCTGCGCGAAGTGCAGGACAAGCAAGCTACAAGCACTCCAAAAGCCACATAAAACTACCTGCAGCAAGACTTTTACAGCTTCGCATGGCCCACCATGTTCCCATACGCTGAAGCAGCTAGAAGATTAGAGACAGGGCCTCTTGCTTGTGCATTTCTACCCCCATTGGCATTTGAGTAAGTCGAGGGGGTATTGAAGGCTCCCAGTGCCTGTGCAACCCGCCTATCGCAGAGCAGCCGGGCTGCTACAAAGATATGATGAGGACAGTTATGAGTGGTTTCTAGACTTTAAACAGATGGTGAAACGATGTATAATTGCAACAGGGTATTTAGATTAGAGCAAGGCAGAATACGAACGCCTTGAATATGTAGTGGTTAGGCTGGTGAAATTATCTATATTTATTTACTAAGACCTTAAGTATATAAATATAAACACTTAATAAGTAAAGTGAATGTAAATAAATAAATATAAACATAATATAAATATAAATAGATTTAAGTAAATAAATAGTATATAAACTTAGTTAATATTACTTAGTTTATAGTTTTAACTATATTATTATTAATTTCTTTTAGTAACTTATTATATCCCTTTAATAACTTTACTTTTAGCTATAATTTAACTATTTAAATAACAGCTATAATATTTATATTTAACTAATATTATTTAAATAAATATATATTATTAATTAAAGAAAAGTTTTTTTTATATTTAGTAACTATAGTAAAAACTAATAAAATATTAATTAAGTTAAATTATAAAAAAATAATTATTTACCTTAAGTAATAACTTAAATTAACTATAATTAAAAGTAAATTAAAAAGAAAATTTAATATAATAATATTATAATATTATTTTTTTATTTACTTTATATTATTATTTTATTATTTTAATAAAAATATATAATATATATATTTAAATTTATTAAATTTAATTTTATTAAATACTTTAATATATTATAATTTTTATTTTATTATATTTTTTATATTTATTATTTTTTAAATTTTAATAAATTAATTATTTAAGTTTTTATTTACTTTTTATTTTTTTTAATTAATAGTTATTAACTTAATATTTTAGTTTTTTAAATTTTAACTTTTAATATTATTATTTTAAGATTTTAATAATTTAATTACTTTTTAACTTTTTATAATAATTATTAAATTTTTAAAAACTTAACTTTTATTAATTAAATAATTAACTAAAACTATTATAATTAATTAAATATTTTAAATTTAATTAAATTGTTTTTAATTATTATTTTTAATATTTTAAATATTATATTAATTTTTAAAAATATTTAAAATAATTAATTAATTTTTTAATAATTTATTAATATTAAAAAACTATAAATTAAATTTAAGTTAATTAATTTATTATATTTTTATTAATAAAATTAAACTTTTTAACTTTATATAATAAACTTTAATTATAATAATAATTTTTTATATTAATTAAAAGTTTAAAATAATTATTATTTTATATTTATTAATTATAAAGTTTTAATAATATTAATATTAATTAAATTTTAATAATTAACTTATATAAATAATTAAAAAAATTAATATATAATTTTAACTTAAGTTTAATTAAATAATTAATTTTTAACTTAGTTATTTTCTTTTAATATTATATAATTATAATAAACTAAGTTTTATAAATTAATATAAGTTAATTATTTTTAAAAAATAAACTTTAAAATTTTAAGTTTATATTAGTAAAATAGTTAAATTAATTATAAATATTATTTTATTAATATATTATATAGTTTTCTTTTAAATATAAAAAATAAACTATTTAAAAAAATTAAAATTAAAATAAATATTATTAAATTATTAATTATTAATTATTAATTAATAACTGAATAAATTTATTTTTTTTTTTTAAATAATTTAAATTATTTTTTTTAAATATATTTTTATTATAAGCTTTTATTATAATAATTATTATTTTTACTATAGTTATAAATAGTTTTTTATTACTTTTAGTTATTTTAGTTATTTATAATTTTTAATTAATAATTAAATTGTTTTTTATTATAAAGATTTTTTATTTTTATATTATATTATTATATTAAATTTTTTACTATATATAATTTATTTTTTAAAAATTATTAATATTTTTATTATTTAATAAATAATTAATTGTTTTACTTTACTTAAGTTATTAAATTATAATTTAAAGTTTTTATATTATATTTAAATTTTATTATTTAAGCTTTTTTATATATCTTAAATTTAATTTTAAATATTAATATATAACTATATTTTTTATATTTTTATTAATAATATATTTTAAATTTTTAAAGTTTAGTTTAATTAACTATTACTAATTAAATTAAACTATAAATTAATTTTAAATTTTAAATAAAAAGCTAAAGTATAACTTTTTATTAAACTAACTATTATAATATTAAACTTTTTATTTTACTATAAATTTAACTTTTATATTATATAATTAGTAAATACAATGATTAAATTTAATTTCATTATTATATTAATAATTTATTTTTTAAACTATTTAAATAAATAATATAAATCTAAAGTTATATTATTAATTAATTAAATTAAATTATTTTAATTTTTAAATATTTTAATATTAAATTATTTTAATAATTTAATAATTTTTTTTTAATTAATTAAGTAAATTAATTTTTATTTAATATTATTAATTTTATAAGTTTATTATAATTATACAAATTAAATTATAATATAATATTCTTTTTTATTAATTTTATTATTAAAACTTTATATATATTAAATATAT